TCACTGCGACGGTCACACGCTTGGCCACTTCTTGACCAAAACCAAGTTTCTCTTCTTGGGCGGCCTTCTGCTCAGCCTCCAGCTTCCTCTGCGAGTCGGCCCTCTCCTTCTTGATCTGCTTTACCGCTCTGTTGAGCAGTTTGCTTTTCTCTGCGTCATCAGTACAAACCTTCGCCAAATCCTCAGTAGATCTTTGAAGCACGGCTTCCAGCTCTACACTACATTTCTGTTCGGCCTCGAGAGCTTCCTTAACTTTCTCTCTTTCAGCCTGATCGACCAGTCATTTCCTCGCGTCCCGTTCGTAATCATGCATCACGGTCAATGCCGTGCTCAAAGCCTGCATAAAAATAGCGTTCGAAGTCATTCTCACATACGAAGAATTTGTGAAGAAGGAGTGTTCGATGTTTTTCTTACCTTGGCATGGTCGTGTGCAAAACGCGCAATCACATCACTGCGAATAAAACCACGAGGTTCTGTCGAAGGACCCGCTGGATCGTCCCTCAATCGAAGGAAATAGTCCAGGCAAGACACCGAGTCGTGTACAATTGGACTATCTCCCCGATATTCGTATGAGAATCTGAACGGATGGAGTACCCGCTCAGCTTGGAACCTTTTCGGTCTCCGCGAGTCCTCGGGAAGCTCTTCCAGACCCCGTTTTCTCGAGTTAGCAGGGCTGCCTTCCCCGCTACCGTGTTCAGCCTCGAGCTCACAATCTAGAGCGCCATCGCTCCTATGCTCTTCCAGCTCGGCCTCCTTCCGAGCCTTTTCTGCCTTTTTTGGCAGCCTTCCTGTCAGCCGCCTTCTTGGCCTTGGCCAAGTCCCTTTCAGCCTTCTTTCGGACCGCCTTCTTGGCCTTGGCCGACTCACTCCCGGTGCAATCTTTAGTTGCAGGGTTTTCAGGTTCCCAGGCACTCGGTGACCCGAAGGCCGATTCCAGGTCAGCAGACAAATCTTTAAAAGCGAGGGACTTCATCTTCTCTGATCGGCGAGAGTATCGTTCAAGGGCAGCTGCAGAGTAATCAAGAGAAATATTAGGCCGACCAGAAATCACAAACAACCAGCTAAAAGAAAAAATCAACTAAGCTAACCTCTGGTCCTTACGATCTTTTCTTCTGTGATCTCTGGTCAAGTAATCGCACTGATCGCCGTAAACCTCTCAAAAATTTTGTAGATGTCGAGGCGGGTCGTCTACAATTGGAAGATATCTATTACCTACGAAAATAAAGAAACCGGTCAGCATAACAAAAATATTTAAGCATCTTACGAACGTTTTAGGTCGGGTGCATCTCTACTCATGACCTCCGCCCATTTTGTTCGGATCTTGATGTCTCGATCGGCGATGGAGAACTCGTTGATTAGCACAAAAAATTAGCGATCCCTCCAATCGTTGACCTTCGATTTCTGTCCACCAATGACTATATTGAACCGTGTCTTCATACTTGTATAATACGATCCATGGTTCCTCAGTTTCTCCTTCGTTCTCCTGGTGTTTGTCATCGCGTCAAACGCGGCACGACTCAGGGGGATCTTATGGTTGGTCGATATTACCAGCATACTAACGATCAGACGGATCGTCGAATGGGAGAACTGCGAGATCGGCATCTCTTTGTGATCGGCAAATTCCAACAAAAGTCTTCGAAGAGGGAACCATAAGTGGAATTCCTGGAAGAAACACTCGTAGATGCAGAACCAGCTGTGCGAAGCATCCCATGGCCGCTCAGATGGACTGGGAACCATGAAAATGACTTATGGGCCGATATCGCACTCTTCCTTCAAAGAAACTAGCGACGCCATATTGGACTTGGTCGGCATAAGTCCCAAAGCGTTGTCGCAGGTCGGCTTGATGATTGGCTCTCCTTTTTTCCTTCTTTTCTTCTCGACGGGCGGGTTCATATCAATAATTCTGAACTCGTTGACCTCGTCTTCAACGATGACTGCGTTCAGCTCGTCCGAGATATCCATCTCGTTTGATCCGCCTCTCTCGTCGGACTTTTTGCGTAGCTCGGGAATTTCGAATCCCACCCTTGTCGATGTCTCCCCAATTCTGAGAATAGCTCCAACCTGGTCGGCGTAGAACCTATCAGTCGCTGCTTGCTGATTTTCCCCTCCGACCCTCTCTTGATAGGCCCGATCTAGTGCAGAGAGATCGCTCGTATCAGAAGATCGATCTGATCCTGGCTGGTCGGCAGCAACCTCTTTCCTCTTTGATCGGCTTCTCGCGGCCCGGTCAACTTGGGAGATCTCTAAAAATCCTCCAAGGAGACGCCGATCTCATCGGCTCTCGCTTGGGCCGAACTGTTCTTCTTTAATTCAGATCGGCCCTCTCTGATACTCAAACTCTTACTCATCTTGGATAGAAGCTTCAACGGCGTCTTCAAGCAAATCGAAGAAATCACACAGTGGAGATCAAACGAAACGCGACGGAGGTCTAATCAGAAAATATAAAAACGAAGAACAAAGAAGAGAGAGAAGAGAGCAAACATTTTGACAGAGTTTCGCTGAAATGCAGAAGTGAAGATTTATGAGCTGAACCCCTCTTATTTATACAGAGGTCTGGACGGTTATCGATAGTCATCGTAACTTTGACGACTGTTTGCATTTCTTCTCATTTTATTTTTAATCGACCTCTTCATTTTCCTCCTCTATCGTTTGACACGTGCCAGACCTAGTTTTGCATGCGCAGACCTAGGTCTAGTCTACACTACTTTTGGTAGGAACTTTAGGCGGGAGCTCTTCGCACCCAAATTCACCATCTGACCCCCATCATCTTGCCGATCTGAATTCAAGGTAAACTTGTGTTTTATTTCCTAACTTTTGTAGCGGCCGACCTCATTTCATACTGAACTATTTTTCCTAAAATTCACCAAGTCTCGCGCTCTCACTTGCCAAACTAGGGGGGGGGGGGACTTACTGTTAGAGATGAGATTTGTACCATCTCTAAAAGCCTGACATGTAATCTGATCGGCCCATTTTTGAAAATCCAAAGAATGTTTAGGTCAGCCAAATAAATGGAAATCTTCTTTTTATCGGGCTAGATCCAGAAATATTAGAAGATTGGCCTTATCGGCAAGAAGACTTTCCTATTTCGGATATACGTTGTAGACCGACCTGATCGGCTATAAATAGAGGAAGTCTCCGACTTCTCAAAGATCCAAAAATTCCTCTCTCGAGACCTAGGGCAAACTAAGCAATCTGTTATTCTTAGTTCTCGAGTTCTCTTTTGTTCATATTTTAGGTCGGCGTTTTATTCCAACGACCTAAACAATCATGTATCTTTCGAGCTCCGGCTTAAACTTAATAAAGATATCTCTTTAAACCCACAAATTCTTGTTTGTTTTTTAGACCGAATTTGAGTTATCACAAGTATATTGTATACATAATAAAGTGGAATACTAAATTTAAGATGTACAAATATGATTAGAGTTTTGATGCGTCTTTATTATGATTGATTATATAAAAAATAATGTAACAAATAAAATTTATTATAATTAGCATTTATAAAAATATTCATATTATCCATCTTATATAATATTTTTTACTCTAAATAAGTTTTAAACATTGATAAATTATTAGACAAAAGTGTCACTATTGTTTCTACTCGAAATCTTTGAATATATATATATATATATATATATATATCTAAATTAAAAAAATTGAATTAATATATTACTTATATCTAAATTACATTAGTGAATGCGCCATAAATTAAATTTCTTATATTATTAACATATATCAAACACAATAAATTTCATTTTCATTAAAATTATTAATAAATTCTCAATTAGCTCATAATTATATAATATTAAATGTAAAATACTATTTATTGTATACTAAATTTTGGAAAAAGTTTAAATTATGAGCTAATTGAGAATTTACTTCTGGATATAGTTAATTAAATCAAATTATAATTATTTACTGTTATTTATAATGACTATAATGAACTCAAATTATTATGATTATAATGAACTTAAATTATAATGATTTATGTTTACTTATTAATAATTTGAGTAATTTATATTCAATTTTTAAAATTCAAATTATAATAAATGTACAAAAAAATCTATATATTTTTATTATATGGATGATGTGATAATTTATTTACTTTACAAAAGTAAGTTTAAATGAAAATAAAATTAGATTTTTTGTAGAAAATGTAATTAAGAAAATAATTAATATGATATATTTTTGGTAAAAAATAAAAAAAAGAAAATATCTAAATAAATTAAATGCTGATTTATAATATAAAACATAATATATGTATGGACCTAAAATATAATGGCATATCATGTAATTAGTCTAGTAATTTAAGTTTTTTAAAAATAATTAGCTGAAAATAAATGTGGGCTTGACACATCAGCATAATGACACCACTGTAAATACTTACAAAAATGAGATTACTCTTTAAAAATGCTTCTCAATTAATATATAGGAGATTTTTATGATTATCAAAATCAATTATCATATTATTAATTGGCATGCAAATTAGGCTATGGTTGAGAGTTATTGTGGTTGATTACTTTTTGTGCCTCATATGAAAAGACTTCAATTATCCTTAATGAAAATTAATACTCTTAATAAAAATTATGAAAATTATAAAAATCATCAAATAATCTCTACCATATGTCGATAACATAGAAGCCCTAAATAATCTCTCACCCATTCAACATTATAAATACTTTTATTTAGAATCTTTAGGTCACGCTACTTTCTCTCATCTTAATTTACTTTAATAATCCTTAATAAAATTATTAATTAAATTAAACTATGCGATTGGTTTGGTTTTGAAGCGGTTTTGTGTTATTTAATATCGATATGGTTTGGTATGTTTCAATGGATCGATAAATGATATGTGACTTGGGCCATTATGTTTACTAAAACCCTAGATTATAAAACCTTAGATTATAAATTATATATAAATGCCTCCGACCTGTTTGAGTATTTATGTTACATCTATGGTCTGGCCGTTGTGTTTCTTGGGAAGACAGCCGTGTTTATGTAACATGGCTATGGTAATCCGTCTTATTTATTTTCTTGTAATCTTTAATTATGGTTTTGTTGTTTCGTGTGTTTGGTTTAAAGTTTTGGTGTGCCTTCAACCTTTTGTTTAAAGGTTTTGGTCATAGTGGTTCCGAATCATGTGTTTTGTTTTACTTAACTTTTTGATTAGGTGTCAAGAACATAGAGAGAAAAAGAATCGGAAGGAAAAACTTTCGAAAAGTGATTCAAATTTGTTTGAGAGTCTGTATTTGTTTGTTTAGTTTGATCTAATCTATAGCCAATAGAAAAAGAAGCTGAATAGGAAGAATATGAGGAATGAAGCTGAAGTAATTTGCATAAAAGGTATTTACTATTTTATATCTCTCCCCGCTTAGGTTTGATCATTATGTTTCGATTACCAATCTATTGTCTATTATGTTATTTTGTTTCCCTATTGTCTGTTGATATCTTCCACTCTTGGAAGCATCAGATAATGTTTACTTTCTATGTTTTTTTCATATATTTAGTTCATTGCTTTCTTTTAAATCTTCATTTATTTCTATATTATGATATTTCTTTCACTTTGCTCTGACAAAAGTTGTATTATATCATTGTGAGTATTTAATTTGGTTTTTCTTTATGTGAGTTCATCTTAGTATTTATGATTTAAAAATATTCTGTTTGCAGTTATATCACCATGTTCTATAATGTAGATTTTAAATTAGTATAGAAAATTCAAATCTGATTTGAATTTCTTATTTTGTAAAGAAATGCCTCTCACTTGATTTGCTGCTAATCTCCGCGCCTCTCTTCCTCGAACTTCAGTTCACGTTCTTTATCTCTCCATTAAACAGAGTTGTTGAAAGTTAAGAGTCAAGGGCAGATACTAACAAATCACTAATCAATTAATCATTAGTTGACGTTTTTGTAATCTTTGTTCGCATAATCCCGACTCAAACTATATTATCTGATCTGAAATCTTTTTTTAGGTTGCATGGTGGGATAGTTCTTTACTCACAAAAAAATATAATTAGTGAGTGTTTGATTTATGTTCAATATCTTTGCACTGTGTTTTGTTTGATCATGACTATTTTTTAATGTGTGTTTTTCTCTTTTGATTTGATGGTTATTCGTTATTCATGATGTTTTCTCGCATAAACCTGATTCTAAACAGATTTTGTGATTTAAAATGTGTGTTTCCCATTATTTGGGAATGGAATGTCAAACAGAATGTGGGAAAAATCGGTGGAGCATGCAAGTGAAATTATGATTTGTTTCTTTGTTTCTTATTGTTTTTTACTCACTTTCCAATTAATTCTCTCTGTTTCATTTGGTCAGTCATCACTTTCCAGGCATCGAACATGATCATGAAAGATGTGGTTGCCTCCACACTGCTCTCCACTGGTTTGTTTGCCACTACATTCACAAGCTGAGGTGGCAACCCGATTCAGACACTTTTGAGGTTGATATGATGACTTGGCTTGCCACATTTACCCCAAAGACACTGAAATTCTCAGACATACGTTATCGAGACACATAAATGCCGTTAGTGAGATTCAAAGTGGAAGGGAATTACTACTTTTTGGATGCAGAGCATAGCTCCATCAAAGCATTTAATCTATCGTAATGAGGAAGTTTTTCTCATAAGTGCAAGATTGAGAGGAAAGATAGGAAAATAGCCTTATTTTTTATCAGGAAGTGTAATTAACTATATAGTTAAAAAATGTATATAAAATTTTGGTTTCTTGATCGGGTTATTTATTTTGTTCTCTCTGATTTTAAATAATTAGCATGGATATCAAAATCTGATTGCCACTCTTGAGTTTGGTTAATTTAGGAATACATCTTCCCCAAATTCAGTTTTTTTTTTTATGATTCCAATGAGGTTTGTTTGATTTATGTTTTTCTTTGGTTTTCAGTTTTTTTTTTATGCTTCCAATGAGGTTTGTTTGATTTATGTTTTTCTTTGGTTTACTTCAAGTTGAATTGTAAAACTTATAATCATTGGAGAAAACTAAAACTCAAAAAACAAGAACATCATATCATTAATTAAAAAGCAAATTGGACTGTATGTGAAAATTATTATGTTTAATAAGTTTGGTTTAAGAACAATTATACTAAATAACAAAAATTAATATATTTTAAGTAGTTTTGTCGAAAAAGTAATTAATCTTAATAAATTGAATATATATATATATATATTTATGGTTATATCTTGATTTAAATTAATTCAAAAATAATATTTTTAATTTATTTGTAAAGATAAAAATGTATCTATATTTGTCGGATTATAAAAAAAGATGGTATAAACCCTAAATTTTTATTCTTATAAATAATGTAATGTATTTGCTATTTTATTTCATATCATTTTTTAAATTTAGGTTAGTTCATATAAATTTTGATATTTTGTTATTTGTTTGTTTTCTTTGAATTTGATAAAACAAAAATTCATAGAAAATTGACAAGTTATTGGATTATTTATTCATTTTGATGTTTTTATAGTACTTTAATTTTATAAGAATAATTTTCAAATTGTATGAAAATAATTTTCTTTTTTTTTATACACAAAATTTTAGTATAGTTAATTTATTATATTTATATCAGAATTAATGTATTAATAATATTAAAAGTGATTTATCCGTGCAAGGCGCGGGAAACCACCTAGTATTAATATATTTTTGTAGATTTTCGAATCCAAATCTAACAAAACTCTTTATAAATTTAACAAATCTCTCAATTTTTAATATCAAACAGCTCTATATAAATCCATCTCCCGATAGTATGTTCTAGCAAGTCTCAAGAGTCTTAGATGTTTGATCTATGTATATGGAAAACATTGTACTCATGGTTTGCTATTTTGCAGTTTTCAAATAATCGCACGTCAACATGAGAGAATTCTTTTTTTATTAGCTCACCAATATGTAATTAGCTTGAAACATGAGAGATTCAAAGAAACGTTAATTTTCCTTTACATTCTTATTTTTCACTTGGAGCTCACGCCAAATAATATTTAATCGGCAATAAAATGGTCAAGTATGGCCAGTTTTGGTAAATAAATATCATCGTACCCTAATGTGATCGATATTTCTCTTTAGGTTCGACTCTGACCATTTTTTTCTGCAAACGTAATTGTTGTTCTGTTCTAGAAGTTGACCAGCGTATTGGTGGGACTGTGGTGCGGAAAACTCAGTCTTTCGGAACACTATTTAGCGTTGGCAAGGCAGAGTAGAATCCGCTGGTTCAGTTCACGTGGAGCGCTCTCTAATCATCATCATAGCCTCACAAGCAATTGCAGCACAAAGATCACCACTAAGCGTGAGCAACACGTAACAGCGCGCACATGGACGCATAATCCAATCGTAACACAATACAGAACAATCTCTTCAAGTGTTTTTCAGGATGTAACTATTGAGACATTCGATTAGTTTTGCAAACAAGGTAAATCAAGAGAAGCTGTAGAGATTTTAGATTACTTGCAGAATGATGGTTATGCTATTGATTTGATTAAACTCTTACGGTTAGCGAAACTATGTGGTGAACCAGAAGCTTTGGAAGAAGCAAAGTTTGTTCACCAGTGCATCGTTTCTCTGGTTCATCTTTCTCATGTTATCTCTCATAACGCAATAATCGAGATGTATTCTGGCTGAAGATCTGTTGATGATACACTGAAAGTGTTCGAAGAAATGCCCGGAAACTTGGTGTGTTATGATGAGTTGTTTTATCAAGAACGTACGGATACAGCCAAGAAGCTGTGGATTTGTTTACTCATTTCAAACAAGAAGGGAATAAACCAAATGGCGAAATATTGAGAGAAGTCTTCTCCGCATTTGCTTTGACAGGAGATGTTAATGAGTGATTGCTGCACTTTGAAGCTATGCAAAGAGACTATAGAATCATCCCTACCATGGAACATTATCATAATGTTACCAAGATGTTGGCAACATCTGGTAACTTAGACGAGGCACTGAACTTTGTTGAGAAAATGCCACTGGAGCCTAGTGTTGACGTGTGGGAAACGCTAATGAATCTTTCTAGGGTTCATGGAGATCGAGAGCTTGGAGATAGATGTGCTCAGCTGGTTCAGAAGCTGGATGCTACAAGATTGGACAAAATGTAAAGTGCAGGTCTTGTAGCAACGAAAGAGGAACCGAAAAACCGGTCTGAACAACGTTATAAGGATACTTCACATCTAGAAATGGATGAGATATCTACGAGACACTAAAGAGTTTGCAGTCACAAATGATGGAAACGGGTTATGTTCGTGACATTAGGGAAGTAGCGTATCGTAATGAACGAGTGGAGAAAGGGAATAAAGAAGAACGGACCTTCGGTTCCAAAGAGGAAGCTACCGTTGTTAAGGGGCTTCTTAGCTTAAAGCCTCGATCTTCAGTCACTGTGATAAGTAATTTTCGCATTTGCAAGGATTGTCACAATGCGTTGAGGTTAATGTCAGAGATAACTGGTAGAGAGCTGATTAAGAGAGATGCAAAGAGGTTCCACTACATCAATAAAGGCATATGCTCGTGCAACGATTACTGGTGAGTGGTGAGCTAACTAATTGTTTCCTCTACTCGCATCTTTTTTTTCAATTTAAACAAGTTGAGATAAAGAGTACTGAAGTTTGTTTCTAAAATATAAGCAAATGTTTTAGATTTTGTTAGATTTATTTTGTTAGCTAATCTGATTTTTCAAAATTGAAAAAATACTTGAGATAATCAGATAAACAATTTATTTGAAAAGTAAACATGTTATAGTTATTATTTTCTTCTGAAAAAATCAATATTATATAACGTAGTTTTCAATTGTCGGTAATGAAAATAAACCGTTGAAAAGGAAGAAAGAAATCATTTTCTTTGTTTAAGAAACTTTGAAACTTCTTCTTCTTCGTTATGTCGCTCTTACAACTTCAACAAACCAAAGTCCCCTGTAGTATCCAATAATCATCTCTTGTTATCTTCTTCTTCCATCCGACCCTGTTCTCTCTGTTCTTGATTTCCTATGTCTCGATCCATGGTCTCGTTTTTGTTCGTTCTCTTCCAGTTTTTGATCGTCTATGTTCGAGCTCAGACAATAGTACCAAGAGAGGCAACAACAGAGTTCATTTTCCGAGGTTTTAAGGAACATAAATCGAAGATTCAAACAGAAGGAGCTGTGACCATCCAACCCGATGGACTATTAAGACTCACCGATCAAAGGTCAAGCGTCACTGGAACAGCGTTCTACCACAAACCGGTAAGATTGCTTGACCATAGCAATCTCTCTACCAAAGCAAAAGTTCGTTCATTTAGCACTTCTTTCGTCTTCTACATAGACCCTTCTAGCTCCAGGAACGGAGGTTTCGGCTTCACCTTCACACTATCTCCCACCCCGAACCGTCCAGGTGCCGAATCTGGACAATACTTAGGACTTTTCAACAAACAAAACGATGGGAATACATCGAATCACGTTTTCGCAGTTGAATTCGACACTGTACAGGGATTCAAGGACGGTGAAGATAGAATAGGTAATCACATCGGTCTGAATTTCAACAGTCTCACCTCGGACGTTCAAGAACCGGTTGTGTACTATAGCATCAGTGATGACCGAAAAGAGGATTTCCCGCTGTACAGCAGTGATGCCGTCCGAGCCCTTTTGGATTACAACGGACCCACTCAAACGCTGAATTTCCCGCTGTACAGCAGTGATGCCGTCCTGCCACAATGGTGTTTGACCCAAGTAAACCATTGGTCTCGCGGCAGGTTCCAAAGCTCTCCGAGATCGTGCAAGAAGAAATGTACATTGGATTCACCGCAGCCACAGGGAGAGATCGGTTCAGTGCTCACTGTATTATGGGTTGGAGTTTCACAAGCGGTAGAGATGGTTTAACTGCTGACAAGCTCCTATTCTGGGATCCACTTTCACTGATCTCCCTATTACTAAGCCAAAATAATAAATCCATAATTTACCAAGAAAAAATGTTTTGGAAAAAAAGAGGAACAATAATAATGGTTCCTTATTTCACCTTTTTCCTTGTGCTTCAAGTAAACTCTAAGAACAGAGTTTAAGGTGAAGCTGGTGATCTATGATATACTGTGCCAAGAATGATCAACAATACCAAATAGATTTTCTGCAACAGCCTAGTGGTAATTTTCTGTTAAAAAACCACCTATTACGTCATCTCTGCTGTACGATTCTGGATCTGATTGATACGAATCTACAAAGATAACAAATAGAAGAGAACGAGGCACATCGCGAGTTTAACGAGTTCATGCCCGATAACGGAACCCTACGTCTCGCCGGAGGTTATACGGAATCCATTAATGCAGCTCAAACTTGAGCTCTCGGTTTCTCTCTCGATACAAGATCTCTCACTCTCCGATCTAAGATCTCTCTCTCGAATACACCAAGAAGAAGATGACTGTTCGACTTAACACTTAGCCGAAAACAGTAACAAACTCTCACACGTGCAACACACACCTATAAGACTCGGTTTAGCTAGACCCACTCAAACCTAATCTAATTCTTCTGGTTTAATGTATACCTTGAGATAACCGGATGAAG